ACGATAGTTCGGATTTCTGAAGCAGGTGGTGTAAACTGTTCCACGATAGCACTTCTGTTAACCCCACGGACCCAACAGTCTATCGTGAACTTGTTCCGAAGAGGCAGCTCTTTTAAAGAGCAGATTTTAGTGCTTTGTATTTGATGTTTCACTACTGCTCGATTACCTGGCGGCAGGATGACGCAGGAGGACTTCCCCTTCAAAGCAAAATCGTGCCTAGGAAATAATTCTCAAGGAAATTAACACAACCTTCTGATGACGTGAATTATAAGGCACAGAAAGCTGAAGAGAACACACTGTGTGCCAGCACTTTTCTTCATCAGCAGTAACTTTATTGCCCACAGATAATGCAAACATTTTCCACACTTGCTGCAATTCAGCAAGTCACCAACTTAACAAGGTCCGCAAAAAACTATTTACTTCAGAAGTACCCTAATTGTTTTTTGAGCATATTCTCATTTAAGGTGTTTATTATTGCTCAAATCTACAGTCTGGTTGTGATTGGCCACTCAATCATGAGATATGCAGAATTAAATACAGGACTTTTAGGAATTAATTTTTAACTAGAAAATATACCTGCTTGTAGGATAGAAAACAATCGAAAATAATGATATATGAATTTCTAAGGCCAGACTTTCTTTGGGTACAATACAGGATTAAGGTTAAAGCAGAATGGATATCAATAGAAAAAAATATTGTACACTGATTTTGAGAAATAACATCTCAGCACAGGTTAAGGGTTCACACTAAGGATACTGTAGTGTCTTCTAAAAAAACCCCAGCAAAATAAATAGGAAAAATGTCACTGGTGTCACACCAAAAAAAAAACCAACACCAAAAGAAAACACAACAATTAATCCAACCCGATTACTCCAAGCAGCGTATCATTGACTGTAGTTCTCTTACTCTGTCAGGGCACCTCCCCCAAAATGGGGATCTCCTCATTTCTCTCCAACGAGAGCAAAAGTCCTTTCTTCCAGAACCAGGTCCTTACATATAATAATTTTTCAAAGGAAAAGGAGGGAAAAGGTGGAGCCAGGGCTTGAACTTGCCCCTGTAAAGCTTTTCCTATCTGTGAGCGTAAGAGCAGGAGGCCTGGCCGGTAGCTTTCCCAAATGAACGCTCTCACTTTACCTCTCTCCGTACAAGGCGGCTGTACAAGTGTTAAATTTCAGTTTGCTGCAATTTTCCCCCTCATATCCTGTCTAAAAAAAGGAATTTCAATTTAAAGGCAACAGTAAACCACACACGCATGTCAAGAGAAAGTTTTGCTGTTTAAAAGCCAGTACATCAAGAAAATCAGAGAGATGACTAATTCCTGGGATGTGGGAATCAAGGGTAAAACTTGCTTTCCGACCGGGGCACAAGGGTTTTGGTGTTCGTGTGGAACGGAACACTGTTGGGCATGGAACTACTGCGCTAGAAGCCACATGAAAAAGTAACTAAGAAATGATTTAGTGGGGATTCTTAGCGGAGATGTTTAGCAGCACAGAAACAGAGGGGCCTTCCTGCCCTCGTACACTAGAAAATCCTGCTTCACACCACCAGAACACTGCATAATCTCATTTCCACTCGTTAGCGCCAAAACGATGCATATCTCTTACAAATGGCCAAATTCACAAGCAAAACATTTAAACCAGAAATTGTTTAGTTCTACATTTATTGCAGATATTAAAAGATTAACAATGCTAACATGTTTACTTACACTAAAAAGAAATGTCAGTTATCTGGTAACATAAGCGTCTAATTGTTACTAGCGTAGCACTACTGCCAATTTGCACGGACCAGAAAGTAGCAAATTGCTCTACAAGATTAATGGCAAAAGAACAACCAAAAGACAGTAGACACACCACTGAAGTTAGTTAAAATGTTCACTGAAGCTTGCAGTCTTCATGGAAGAGAGCCTGGAACTAAAATAACAGAAAAGAAGCTGGTAAACTTTAAACAAGGCAACGCATCTGCATAACAAACGTTTCACATGTACAAGTATTTAAAATTTTCAAATCAGAGCTGCCCGCAAAAGCAGGTCCAAAATAAAAGGGAATTCCTTTTGCAAAAGGAGAGTGAGGTGATCTCTTGGTAAAACAAGATCCAAGCGGCAAATGGGAACCCACTGGAGAGCAACACTGGAATCGCAGCACCGGTACTGCTCTGCGGATACCTTGTCCAAAATTAAAGTTTGGCACAAGAAAGACAGACCACACTACAGTCATCCAGGGTAGCGGATTAAGAGTTTCCCAGTGGTCACCGTTATACTCTAAATTGAATTGCTCTCAGAAAGGACGGTTTTCCAATCGGGATACCAACAATTCTCCCCGCTGGGGGGAGGAGGGCTTTAGCAAACGCGTGCCCAACAACCTCCGGGTGAATCAGAGCAGCCCAGAACGCCGGCTGGGGGGGCGCTGAGAGAGTGGGTTTCAGTCTTGCGTGAAACTCCCACTTCGCCTCGTGCCTTTCTGCAAATCGCGTTCACACAGAATCAAGAATTCTTCCAAAACGTGGACGGGCAAGAAGAGGTGAACTGGAATTTTGCAGGGAAATCGCGAGCTGCAACGCTGGCAGCTCCATCACGGAAACGAAAAGCTAAACCCTTCTGAGTGGGGCTGAGAAATAAATCAGAGACAAACACTATTGGTTCCAGGGTGTCATTCTAAAGCAGATTGTGACTGACAAATCTCCTTTTCAAAAGGTTTAAGTTTCATGCTGTGTAACTGCTAATTACACACAGGAAAGAAAGAAGGGCAGTGAAGAACACACCCAGACACTGTAACAGGTGAGCGTATGCTGCCATATACTGTCATCACTGATCTTTAATCACTGATCTTTCAAGTAGCCTGTGGTTCAAAACGTTTGAGGATTTAAAAACATTTCCAGGTAAAGCCTATAAGAAAAGTCTGGGCTATCAAATGTCTTTAATCGAGTGTGATAACCAGATAAATGTATTTGTAGTTACAGCCTCCATGCTTCAACTGCTTGTAACATAAAGGTGATGTTCATAGAAAAACAGAAGTACCAGCGTATTTTTCTACACCTGCCAGCATGGTTTTATTCACTGATTACGTGCTTCACAGCAATTAAAACTGAGTGATCAGAAAATTACACTGTGACGTGCTCTTGCTTCTCATGGTTTCAAAGACCCAGACAGTAAAGGAGGGGGAAAAAAAAAGGAAAAGCAAACCAACCCACTTGCATCCATAAAACTAAAACTAGTTGTTACAAGCAAGGAAAAGTTTGTTGCTACAGAATGGAAATGAAGACACTCCCTTTCAACCAGCAGGGTTTTTAATGGAGAAAGAATATCCTTTTGTTCTTTAAACAGCAGGCACAGGCAAGTTGATAAGTGAAGAACACACTGTCTTGCATATTTGTCGGTGAGGGCCGGGAGACGCCGCCACGTTACCGTGGGGTGCTATTAGTGTGTACCACAAGCTCTTTGCTCTGCAAGAAGCACGGTGCAGGATGGAAACAGCAGCAAGACAGCACTCACCGCGAGCAAGCAAAACGTGCGTCAGCTCAAGAGAAACTCGTTCAAGAGAACTTCAGTGAAGGTGGGGTTTTGGTGCTCTAACATTCAAGCGAAGACCTTTGACTTGTTTTTAGAAAGGTGAGGATGGAGAATGCGGACACTAAGAAGTGTGCTATGGAATTCTGTCACTTCCAGTAATGGAGTCACAGAGCCCTTACTGATGTGCAAGTCGGAAGAAAAGGTCAATGATGAGACCGTGCATGTTTTGTTTGTGGTAACACTGCTAAAGCTTTCATGTCTTCAGGGCTGCTTCACCAAGCAGGGCATGCTTTTTGTTGAAGCACTAATCTCGTCTTTTCTTTCAGTAAGTTCTCCAATAGCCCCTTAAAAGTACAAGGTTTTGTCTCATTTCTTGGGGTTTTTCAGTAAAAGAATTTCTGCAAAGCAAACGTTTGATAGAAACACAAATGACTCTCTAAACTGATGGTCTTATTATACTGGTGATCCACTTCCAGATGACTTCCAAATACCTGACTTGCGAGTGTTTTCTTCAGCATTTTCTGCAGACACATGAACTGTGCCTGCTCATGGCTTACACTTCTTTGCGAAGGTAACAAATTAGCCAAGAATTTGTTGGAGAAGAACTGCAAATTTGTGTCAAACAGAAAGTACACTTAAAATATGTACTGGTTGTTTGTTACACTGAGAAACCTCAGCAGCCGAGATTTTCAAGGAAGAGTTTAGTGTTCTCAACACTTGGATGAACTCAGTTATTCATCCTACACTTAAAGTCTAGACTCCTATATAAAATGAGCACAGGGGTAGAGACTCTTCTTAAAATTGGTATATGGAGGAAAGGAAACTGCTTTATGCAGCCTCCAGAAGTAGATCAGAAGTTTAGCCCATCACAAAATGTAGTTAAATAAAAAAAAAAAAAAATCTGAACTGCCTCGCAAGAAGATCTGAATTTGAGAAGATTCTTGGCTTCAGAAAGGATCAGAGCCAACCAGGCTAATCCTATTTTTCATGTTGCTTATTCAGGTTTTTTTGGTAAGCCATCTCATCACAAAACAGGCAAACTTGGCCAGAGAGAGAGGTAAGCAGGCACTTCCGAGAACAAAATTAGTTGTTTCTTCCTCAGAAGATGACATCCAAGTTGTTAGCTTGCACAATTAAATACAAGACTAACTCGAATCTTGGAAAATGTTTTAATACGTTAGTATTCAAGTCCACTACCACAGAACAAAGTGTTCTTCATACTGGCATACTCTGCCGAAGATCTTTCACCCAGCAGCCTTTGCATATCCGTGCACTTTCTAGCGAGCGAGTCTCTTATGTCAAACCTAGAAAGTAAGATTTGGGGTAATTCAGCAGTTCAAAGCAGTTCAACGTAGGTCTGGATTCTCATGAAACGTTAAGAAGCCAGATATATTCATGGAAACGGGAATATTTTCTCGGTAAAGGAAGACTTAAAAAGCCCTGGTATTTTAATGTTTGCAGGAATTCATAAACCAGACGTGTCCATTGCACATACCTATTTACTTGCTCTTTTCTGCCTGTACATTTGTATCATTCTTTGACGGAAAACATCAAATGCATCTTCTTTATTTTCTTCCCCTGCAACACCCAAGCCCTCCCCTGCAGAGGTAGCACCCCTAGGGAGTAAAATGAATAGTTAGAACACTCTGTTTCTGTTACATTTGACAACGTGCAGAAGAGATCAAAACAATAGCTTCCAACACAGACACAATTCTGCTTCATTCGGGGGAGAAGGGGGGCGGAGGCTTGGCACCTGGCGTACCGCATCAGCTCTGAACCAGTTCCCACCTCCCATTCCACATGCAAACGCCCACCGAAGAAAACGCTCCCGTGGTATTAAGAGAGATACCGAAGATACAGTCATCGAACGGATCCAATTCTTGCATGAACTTTAACCACGTTATTCATGGCAAGGATCGTCCAGTGAAAAGATGACCAAAAAATCACTTTGCTTCTTACATTTCAAAAACGACACAAGTCAGAGACTTTGAGGAATGAGTAGGAAACGCCACACAACTCTGGATAAAAGACGAAATATTTGCTGAGGGAACATAATGCTGCTCGCTTAAGATTGCTAGCACCCAGAGCAAGGTGAAGTCTCGTAGGACACACACCACAGACAAAACCTGGAGGTCCTGCCCTTCCAAGAAAAAGGAGTCATTAACTCCTCTCTCTTCATGCCGACAGGAGCAGACAGGCCTCAGTCTAAAACCAACTTTCTGCCCTGGAAGCCCATGGAGAGGATGACCCACAAGAACGCAGAGATACAAATAATTAAAAGCCATCGCATTCTCCAGCCTGCATGCACAGAATTCAGGCAGTACAAAGCTAGGATTCATGAAACCTCTGCCACAGAAGCGATCCTCTGCGACAGTTTTATCCTCCCGGTCAGCACTCAAGTATTATTTGTTAAAGATTTCATTATATGGAGTAAGAAAATTTTAGATTGCCTCATGTACCGAAACTAAGATTGCTGTGCTATCGGAGTAGAATCTGAGGACCTTTAATAGAATAAAGAAAATATGATTCTCATCCAATTTCTGGAATAATAGGCCCACTTAAGCCAAGTAGGTTGTTGCACAATTCTAAACTAATATTCACAGACTCTAAAAAGCAAATTCAACTTTACAGCCCACAGCAGAAACCTTGGATGCTGTTTTTCCTTCTGAATGGTACAAAGTCTGACTCGGCACCTGTATGATCAAGTTACGTTACATTTTAAATTATGGTTAAAAGTCAAGTCGCATAAAAGACCTGCCAAAGCTTTGCATTTTTCATCTTTTATGGTATGGCCTGTTTGAAGCAGACTCTCTTCATTTGCCTTTTCCATTACACAACAGCTGCTTCATGCTTCCAAACAAGAAGATTTTTCTTTCTGTTTACACCACAGTTCCTCTTCTAGATTACTTTCAGAATAAAAAAAACAATAATCAAAGACATGAGATAATTACTCAGAAGAGGGTCTGTCCCACTATCCCATAGCAAGGTTCTGCCTGGTAGTTTTCAAAAGGGGAGGAAAAAGTAGAGGCTACACATGACTAAAAGGAAAAATAAAAGACCCAAAGCCCTGGACAAGAGAAAGCCAAATGTTAAATTGCACTGGTTTCACCCTGAGATCATCTCAAAGTAACGTCCAAAGAATCACTTTGATGGGAAAGTGAAGAGAGGAGCACACCATGAACGTAATCGGTAACAGGGAGTTCTCGCTGCATCACAGAAAAGGTCAGCAAGTTTTTGCAAGAGGCACAGAAAGCAGTTCTTCACTACTCTTTGCTGGGTGTCTTTACAAGGGTGACACAGCAATGGACTCAAGCTGGGAAAACTATACTTTCACCTATTAAAAATGCAGGTCTTAAAGACAGAAACTTTTAGAATGTGGTGGCCTAACTGTCAGATCAGAGACAATTAAACAGCTGATGATGATCTGTGCTGTGGAACTTCTGCCAGGAGCTACAGAAACAAACAGAAAAACATTACTCGTGTGTTTGGTCCCAACAAGTTTTGAGGTTAAGAACCAAGGTTCTAACACTGGTGAACACAAGAGAGTTCCAGGTGAGGCAAGCTGCTTTCTCACTGTCCCATCTGCTGCTGAAGAAGGACCTACAGAGAACACTGCGATGGCCACCGGACCACGGGGAGCGCTAAGGAAAAAGAAGCAAACAGCCAAAAGCATCCCACCAACTGAAATGACCAGCAGCGTCCAAGGCTCGAAGGGAACATCGAAACCCCTGGAGAAAGAAGACTGTTAAACCACAGGCTATGTGTGTCGACTGGAAACCTTGTTATATGGGTTCAGAGAGAAATAAATAGTTTCTGCTTCCTCATTCAGTCTGGGAGCTGAAGGAGGTATTATCCATTTTCTGGGCTGGCAGCAGTGGACACTGGAAGCAGCAACTTTAAAAGACAAAATGAAGATTCAGACCCAGAAGGGTGTTTTAAAGGAAGAAGCACACTTACCTTTTGGCAGACGCACTTACCTCTTTCCGTGTGCAGCGGAATGAATCACATAATTAGAGTGAAAAGAAATTTGCTGCCTAAACCTGGGAGTAACTGCGTATGACATTCCTAAACGTCAAGATGGCAAGCAACTGCCACGTTCCAGACCAGAATTTGTCCAGCCTGGCCAGAAAAACGCGTGAAGTCTCCACGCTCAGCTTTGCTGAGGCCAGAGGCCACAGCCAAGAGGGAAATGAAACACTGGCCTGGCCACACCACAGGTGGGTTAGATAAACACAGTCACTATTTAAAATCCCAGCCTTTTGCAGAGCTGTCACATTTCTGTAGCGTGTTCCCCTTACATACACTTTTACAGGCTCTCTGATTCCTTTTCCTCGTGTGCCAAGGCCATGTCCTTCTTGCCAGCCCATCTTCTGAAGCATCTGGAAACCCACGTTCCTGTTTGTCAGTTTCTTGTGTGAAAATTCTAAATCTTTTGGTTTCTATGGAGAGGAAAAACCAAAGGGTTGGGGTTTTTTTGTTAGACAGAGAGATCATGTATTAAAAAATCCCTCAAATCCCACCCCCTCTAAATTGTGTTTGAATTTCTGGCTATACAAAAATATCTTCTAAGAAGCACTTCACTAACTACACAGAAAAAAGTCTATCCAAGGGTAAGTACCTGCTTTGCCAGTTCAAAAAAATAAACATATATTTGAGGTTCTCAAACCATTCAACTCCATTATTAAAATAGCAAAGAACACACCTTCAGATTTTAAAGGTGGTTATATTTTTTAGTGACCCGATGACTGAATCCCTCTTACAAATAGAGAAGCAGTCAAGTAACAGCTCACCCATTTTGGAAAATTACAACATATTTTCCAGACAGCAACGCACTGACTTATTGTTCAATTTTGACACAAGTATTTAAAAGACAACAGAAGCCACGGCCTCCTCAGGTTTAGCCAAGTCTTTGACACATTTTCAGAGGCCGTCTCTTATACAGACAGTGGATTCTCAGAGTGCAATGGCAAGAGTTCTTTACCTTCTTTTTCTTTGTAACTGGGCAACCACGAGGCCTGTCATAAGCAATTCTGACAGGTTCATGCACTGCAAGTCAAATCAAAGACAAAATTCAGCTGTAAAGAGAAACAATTCTCACACAGCACCCCAAAAGCACATCTCAAGTGGGACTCTAACTCAATGCCTTAGCCTATAAATGGAATCAACAAGAAAGATCATGTTTTTTTTAAAAAAAGTAAAGAAATGGTAGGCTTTCCCAAAAAAAGGTGATTAGTACATGCATGTATTTCATTTTGGGCCATCACGCCAGCAGTACGGATAAGGACTTTAGGTCTTTCCTTTCCCTGAGCTTCTGTAATACTCCGACAGAAAATTCAGACTGGACTCAAATGAGGTTACTGTTTATCATTTTCATATCGCAAAGGACAACCTTCACCAATAAAACTCATTATGCAAAGACAAGACACTTGTTAAAGGAGCTGCAGAGCTGCGTATAATCAGTTTTAAGCTACTTATCTCTCAGTTCTTAGAATATCATGACCCACCCCCGCTGTGGCCATCTGACAAAATTTGACAGATCGAGCCAAAGTCTCTCTGGAGTCAAACACTAGCGCTACGCTCAAGTCGGTTAAACCTTCCATTCACTGATAAAAAAACCCTGCAGAGAACACTACTGTGAGATTTTAAGCAGCAGAGAGAGGATAACATTCACGTATACCTAGAGAATATTTGACAGATGACATTTGATGCAAACTTTGCTATTGCACTGTCATACAAAAACTTTATTCAGAATCTCCTTTGTCTGCTGACCAAAGCCTTAAATTGAATATTGTACACATTTTAGAATTAAAGAAATGTAATTCTTTGAGCCAGTAACAGTCAGTTACATTAAAAAAATAAATCAGGAATTCTGTACTGATACCAAGAGGATCTCTTTAAAGCAGCACTCACCTTTTGGTTCTTCTATGAGGCAGATCCTTTTAGATGCAGGAATCATACCAACTTTCAGAGACTTGCTGCTGATTCGTTTGCGAGGAAATAGGGTACCAGGAGCGGGAGTTGATGCCTGTGTCGACAGATTTGGTATAGGACCATCAGATGATGTGGCTAGCTGCATGTCACCTGCTGAAATTTCCTCTCCTGTTTTGGAAATCATCTCTTCAGCTAGGTTTTCCACACTTCTACCTGCTGACATGTCATCCTCTTCTCGCTCCATTTCCATTTCTTCCAAAGGCTGGGAGATATCCTCCTCAAACTCAGCTTCCTCCTCATTATCTTCTTCCTCTTCTTCTTCTTCGTCCTCCTCCTCTTCCGAAATATCCAAATTACTCCCTTCAGGTTTAGCACCTTCCCCTGCATCAGTTGCTTCCGACACAGCACTGAAGTTAATAGATGGACACCACTCGTAGACTTTCATTCGGTAAAATTTGAAAGCGGAACTGTTTCGATCCTGTAGAAACCTGAGCAAAAGTAACATCAGGAAGAGATCTGCTTGAGCATTTGGAATTTTCTTATCGGCCCAGATACACAGACAAACAAATGTGGAGGTTACTCACCAAAGGTCTGGGTTATCCGCACTGTTGTCTATGCTGAACTGCTCAATTTCTGGTCCTACCTGAGCAACAAACTTGGCAAGCTTCTCCGCAGTTTCCATTGTTTTAGCATCCACTGCAAGAAACAAAACGCTCATTAACTATCGCTTCTGCATCACTGAGGGGTCAAGACAGTTGAGAAGTATCTGCTTCAGCAAAAGAAATGACGTAAGTTTCCAGCAGAACATTCTGTGCGATTCTTTTCTCATTCAATTTAAAATCAGATCTTGAATCTTCACTTACCATCAGGGAACTGAGAGGACAACGGTGGGAAAAGTTCAGGTGGTGCCAATAAATCCTCAGAATCCGCCTTTTCTTCCGCTGGCAGGGAGAGCTCCGAACTGGTGGCACCATGTGAGGATGAGGTTGCGTCAAGGGAAGAATCCTTCTCCGCCGGGCTGGTTTCTGATCCGGAAGACTTTGACTGGACCGAAGCTTGAAGATGCTTGTCTTGGTGCTTCAGCACCGTCCCAGCTGAAAGCACGGTTTGGGTCCCTATGGTTGCTCTCCTCACTTTCCTTCCTCGAACAGCACGTTGGGTGACAATTCCAAGCCTTTTCCTTTTAAACAGCCTCCTCTTAATACTTGCGACTTTCCTGGCATACAGCATGGCCCTCACCGATTCTGTCGCAGATTCTTCTAGTGTTGTGCCCTTGCCACCTGCTTCCTTTCCAGACGACGTCCGCCTTTGCATCTCCGATAACTTCAGCCTGTAATACTTGTATTCCAGACTATCTTCATCAGACAAGAACCTAAATAAAATCATACAGATAAAAATAAAAGCCTCAACTGAAAGCACAACTGATCTCAAACCCTGCGATCAGAAAGTCAGCAGCAATCGACCCTTTTTTCCAGGGGGACACACAAGTTGCCACATGAACGTTAGCCTGCACAGGTTTTTCTTGGAATAACAGCCAACTCCACTTCTAAAGCAGTGAGCAAAGTGTGCCAAGCAAATAAATGAGGAAGGGTTTTGACATAAATCATTTGGCGAGTAATTAATCAGCTATGCTGCAATTCACACATGAAGAGATACTGTCATATTAAAAGATCATTACACTTGGAAGCCTCTCAGCTTTCCTCTCCCGACATTATTCACAGAACACTAATCCCTACGTCTGTTACCTTACTGTGTGTTTATTTGCTTACTATTTTCATCTCGTAAATGTAAATTGCTTTTAACTTCTTGTATTTGGATTGACACGCAGTCATTATTGACAGATCAAAAGGAACACGATCTGCCAGAAAAAAACAGAAGCAACAGGACAATTTCCAGGGATATCAGGAAGTATAATTAGCCTAGGAAACATTTCCAAAGGAGTCTGATTAAATATACAATAGGCTTTGATCTCACGCCCATTGAATGAAATCCTGAATTTAATTAAATGTATTCCAAATATCTTCAGCAGACAGCAGTATTACAACATACTGTTCAAACACGCTTACCAATATTCAGGACAGTTCTTTTGAGCACTTCTCTCTTTGGCAGACAAGGTTCCCGAAACAATGCTATTCACGAGCTGTTCAATTGTCTCTACAACTTTCCGATCCGCTCGCTGTGGGGCTGTAGGAGGAAATAAAAGTCAGTCATTGTATTATCGTACCGATGTACCAATATGTTGTCTTCTTTATTCTCTGACACATTGACATTTGCAATTTTTTCAATGGATTAATATAAAAAAGGCTGCACTTAACACTAGAATAAGTTAAGGAAACCTCAGAAGCTTCCTGAGTGTTTCCTCAAGTCAACTTAGATTCTAGAACAGCTTATCATGAGAAGCACTTAAGTTTAAGAAACTTCTCCTTTGCCATCCTGGGCAGGTTAAGCCATCCTTTAAATGGCACTGACTGCACCAAAAGGACTTTGTGTAAAATCAGTGTATCTGAACACTGCTCTGAAGAAGGCGCCGGTTCCAAATTTTTAGCCATTCAGTGTCAGCGCCGCAAGATCTCGCTGCGAAAGGATCTGAAGTTGAAGTGATGAGTACAGGAACGAGTAGGAACGCTTTAGAGAGGACGAGCTAGACAGCCTAATGAGCAGAGGAGACGGCGTTCCTAGGGATGGGAGCACATAAACAGCTGAGTCTGATAAAAGCCATAACAGTAACATCTCTGACTTCACTTATGTGTAAATACTTACTCCGTGACGTAGCCAGTTACAGCTGTGGTCCTGGCCTCGCTACCTCGAAGTTGTGCAGCTGGCGGGTAGGGCAGCTGAAGCAGCCAAACGCACAAGGTGACAATCCTAAATTTAAAGTGTAAGCACGTGCAGCAGAGGGGATTTCTTCCACAAAGCTGAAAGCAATTGCTATGACAAATAGCATCTACTACATGCCTCGGCACTGCCAGGGATTTACATGGAATTTCCAGAACTAGGAATTTCTGACCTAATGAAACCATAAAAATTAAGATAATCAAGAAATGACATACTGTAAAATATCTTACAACAGGTCACTTACTTGTAACTGTTGTGTCAGGAGCAGGTTTTTTAAGCTGGGCTGTGGACTCTAGTTCTGTTTTTTTCATCTGAATTGGATATCCACTCTTCTCCAACCAGGCCTTCAGGTTTTCAATGTACTCTCTTCCAAACAAGGTTGAATCATCAAAGTTTGGGAATAGTGTCGGTGCTGGAGCCATTTCCTGGAGCCCTACGGCTTCAAGTATTTTCTCTTGCCTAAAAACAGACGCTAGTGCGAAGGTCTGACCCAGAAGGGCTAAAGACTTACGACAAAGAGAAACGGTGGTCTCGAAAGCGCTTGCCATTTCTCTCGGATTGCCAAACCCGCTCGTCTTAATGCTCAACTCGTAAGCGTTGCAGGCCATAAGCAGCGGCGTCACACCTTTGAGGAGGCGGTCTTGTAGCCTCATTATGTACTTATCAAAAGGTTTTATTATTTCAAAGAAGCAGTTCTTTGTTTTCACAGCGCCCTTGTCCAAGAGCATATTTAAAAACTCATTGTCCACTTTAGGAGTTTTCAGAGCGGCATGTTGTAAACTCTTGATAGTAAAGAAACAATAATCTCTGTGTTCTGGCTTTAAGGAGCATTTGAAGGAAGCGAGCATTTTTGCACAGGTTTCTGTCTCTAGCTCAAAGAGAGCACCGAAGAGCCGGGAAAATTCCACGTCGTTTTTGATGGCGTGAAACCCAGCCCACTTTATAATTTCTATTCCAAACGTCGAAAAAATATCCGATTTGTCCACAAGGTCGAAACTGAGATTTCGGAAAACGTGTGCGGGCTTCGGGAGCCTGAGAATAGGTCTCTGGGTCATTATAGTCGGCCTCTGGTTAGGTCGCGGAGGTAACTTTTGATTAGGGCGCTGGACGGCCACCGGCCTCTGGTTGGGCTGTTCAGCAGTTTCTGGCATTTGATCGGGTGGCACAGCCGGCTTCTGGTCAGGGCCTGGCGGAAGTTTTTTAGTGTTCCACTTCTTTAGGGGAGTTTTGATATCTGCTTTGAACACTTTAGTTTTCAGAGCTCCCCTCGCGATACGCTTCCCTCGCAGAGCCCTTCCCCTGCCAAGGCTGCCCCTCCGTATCGGGGGCCGGAACTCGCTGTCCGACTGAATTCCAAAGTCCACGTCGTACTCCTGATTTTCCACGTTGCCGTATTCATCTTCCATGAGGCCCGGCGACCTGAAATCGCCTAAAATCTCTGAAGAACTGAAGTCACCTTCGTGTGGTCCAGTGGATTCCCAGGAGTCAGGAGGGCCGTAGTCCTGGTCATGAGAAGCCAGGCCCCCATACTCCTGATCGTGGGAAGCCGGGCGGCCGTACTCTCGGTCGTGGGAAGCTGCTGGGCGCCCGTACTCCCGGTCTTGAGCTGCCGGGCGCCCGTACTCCCGGTCGTGCGAAGTTGGCCGCCCATACTCCCGGTTGTGGGAAGCTGGCCGCCCATACTCCCGGTTGTGGGAAGCCGGGCGGCCAAATTCTGCGTCACGAGCTGCTGGACGGCCGTACTGTTCGTGGTAGTAGTTATCTTTCCTTATGAGAGGACTAGCAGATCTGTAAGAAGGTCCCGGGTAGTCGTCTCTGAGGTCTTCACTCCAGTCATCGTGTGGATGGTGCTGGGTGTTGTCAGGAGCAAATCGTCCATCGTCGTGAAAACTCTCTTCGTATCTCGGTCTTGGGACTGGCCTTGAATGAGCTATAATGGTAAAAACACAAATATGCCAATGCGCCGCAAGTACAGTTAAGAAAAACAATTAATAAACCTATTTACAGACAATTACAAGGGTCAACACACCAAAACTTTTGAAGAACAGCGCATATATCCAACTTCAGGACATTCCCATTTGCTTTCTTACGTGCACTGAATAATTCATAACAAGCAAAAAGCAACAGATGATTAACAGTGCCCAAACACACATACCAGAACAATTTATTTATTAAAAATTCTACTCTCACTAAAGCTGAAACATAAGTTCTACTATAAATCCCATTTTCTACTTGCTCACAGCTTTCTCAGTCTAGGAAGCTGCTAATGTTGTGCTCTTAATGCTCCTACTCAGAATTCTCAGATGTAACAATATCAAGAGCACGCACTTTCTGCTCCCACACTGAATGTCAGGACTCCACAGCTGACCAGAAGATCTGTTTTCTACCAACTCACGCATAACTATCTAAGATAACATTAAAGCCAGAAATACTAACGTTCCCTGCAAAGTATCCAAGAATCCCTATTCCCCAATTCCAGTAGTCAAATCCAGAAAGTATAAGTGAACAAATTAAGTATTTAAAATAAATGATTTCTTTGAAGCTTATACGACTTTAAGAAAAGAAACCAGATCTCATTTTAAAACTCTCAATTTCCTATGAATGTAATCAAAGTCACTTTTTCTGGACATTTTACATATCAAATTTAGAAGATAAAAGAATGTGCAGATCATGTTTTGTATACATTTGTGAGGTTAACGACCTGGTTCTAGCCATTTCTCCAAAAATAACATGAAATACAACGACCCGAAGGCTTCAAACGCGCTTCTACATCTATTTAACTTATCGTACATCGGCAGAATTCCATCCTGCAGCGACTGTCTCTAGAGACCTCCCTGAAATTGGACCCACACTGATGCAGCCTGAACAGAATTCCTTTGTTTGAAATTCGGTTTCTTTTCTTAGAATTTGCATTCCCCAACGAAAACGCCATCAGTCATGCCAAGCCGTTCGCCTCTTAAATAAAAATGGATGTGGAAAAACACCAGCATGGGTCCACGCTTTAGGGAAGGCAAGAAATTGCAGATGGGTGTTACCACAAGAGCTGGGACCGCCCGGGCGGGCCCATCGCACCCGGGTTCCGTTACCTTTGAAATGATGGATCGTGTCCTCGACCGCGTCACCCCGGTCCATGCGGTACCTTTTAACTTTGTCCTGCACCACAGCACCAAACGTCTCCCGTGTGATCCGCCGAGAGGCCATTTTTATCCTGTAGCAAAACAGCACAAAGCCGGCCCTCACCGGGGGCACCGGGGA